AATAATTCCTATTAAATATAAAAAAATTCTGGATCATCACTTTCCTTTTCGCATGATGTGGTTGTGGTGGCGGCGGCGGCGGTACGGTAGTGGTGGTGGCAGTGACATGGTGAAGATAGTGGTGGTGGTTGTGACGACAGTGGATGCGACGATGGCGGTGGTAATCATGGAGGCAGCGATGGTAGTGGTGGGGATGGTGGTGGTGGAGGTGACGGCAGTGGTTGCGACAATGGTGGTGAGTATGGTGGTTGGTGGCGGCAACAATGGTAGCAGTGGCATTGTGGTGGTGGTTGTGAAGGAATCACAGTGGGGGTGGTGGCGGTGGCTACGGCGGTGGTGGTAGGTGACAGTGGTGGTGGCGATGGTGGTAGTGGTGGCAATGACATGATGATGGTAGTGGTGGGGGTGGTGTAATGGTGGCGATGGTGGTGGTGGTGACGGTAATGGTTGTGACGATGGTGGTGGTGGTTGGTGGCGATGAGGGTAGTGGCAGTGGCGTGTGATGACGATGGTGGCGGTGGCGACAGTGGTTGCGATGATAGTGGTGGTGGTGGTTGATGGCGGTAGTGGTGATGGTGATGGTGACGGTGATAGTGGTGGCGGTGGTGGCGGCGGTAGTTGTGGTGGTGGTAGGTGTGGTGGTGATAGGTGGAGGTGGTGGTGGCATCGTGGTGGTGACGACGACACTAGTGCTACGATGGTGGAGAGTGATTGAGAGGGATAAGTGTTTCTCATTTTGTGCCCAGGAACAGAAAAACAGAAATTTTTTGATTCATTTTTCTGTTTCTCAGCACAAACATTAAACTGGCTCATCCCGGGAACAAAAAAATAAACCGGTTTTACCAAACGAGTTTCCTATCCATTTCTGTTCCCGGAACATAAATTAAAAAAGAATTAATTCCGGGAAGGTTGTCATTCACACCCTTATATTTGTAAACTAGCGATTTATTATCTGAATTAGAAAATTAACTTGGTTTTATTAAATATTATTTTTAACCATTTATTAGAGGCGGAATACAGTCAAACAGTGAAAAATAAAAATGAACGACACTAACGGAGTGTTTGGTAGCCGTCTTCGTCCGAAATAGCAAGTCAAATTGGATAAGGATTTCGTTATGACAACGTTTGGTAAAAATTTTAAAAAAATTATGCCAGCAAAACTGAGTACCCGGGCAACGAAAATTGTGTGAAAAATTGCAGTGAGTGTACTGTGCATGATACCCACATCGAAGGTGGTAATATGTGGTTGCCTGGGAAAGAAAAAAATGAACTCAAAAATATTGTCCAAAATGACACTTATTTACTGTTGACCATCACTGGTGAGTATCTTTCTAATTGTAATTTACACAAATTATCATCAATATTTTACTTTCTACCAAACATTGACTTTGAAAACTTAAACCAATTTTTCTGTTAATTTTTCGCCCTATCAAACAACTTTTTTCTCATTTTCCCACCAAACTCATTTTTTCACTATTTCCCTAATCATTATATTTCCCTAGTAACAAAAATTTCTCCTCTACCAAACACCCCCAAGGGAGTTTCAAAGCAATGTTATCATAACCAACCAGGTCATTAATCCGACCGAGATGTTGGGTTATTGGTTTACTAAGTGAATCACCGATTAAATTACATGACCCGGATTAGTACATAAAACCTATATTTTATACATAAAATATTCAAATACATGTAAACAAATTATTATACTGGGCTACAAACATATATAGTTTTTGTAGGGATAAAAAAAAGTCATATATGGTAACCACATACAATATACTATAAAAGAAATAAATAAAGAAAAAAGAAAATTCAAAATATCATGTAAACATATATAATTCCTCTACTAAGTATCCTCAACTAGGGGTGTTCATCAACCGATCCAAACCGATTCAAACCGCGGTAACCGATAATCGAATAAACCGATAACCGAATAAACCGAAAACCGAAAAAAAATCGCAAATTTTAATTGGATTGGATCGGTTTTTGGATGGGTTGATGAAAACCGATCCAATCCAAACCGATCCAATATATTAATTCTCCTCTACCTATTTGAGTCTTTCCCTAATCCCCTCTACCTATTTGGGTCTTTCCCTAAACATAGCCTAAAAATTTCTAAACCCAAGACCCATTAACCCATCAATTAAACCCAAGAAAAAATCTAGTCATATCTTATCAACACAATTTTATCTTTATAACTTCATATCTCATTGCCAAAAAAAAAACTACATTATAGTTTACTAATGCTTTTGTATTTAAAAAATAAAAATAAAATTACAAAGTCAATATATACAAAAGATGTTATTTGCACAACAATCATGAAATAAATATTAGGATTTTCAAAAAACCGAAAACTGATCCAATCCAAACCGAAAAAATTGGATTGGATTGGATCGGATTTGAAAAAAAATTCGAACCGAATGAATGATTATATGATCAAACCGAAGGAATTGGATCGGATGAATTTTGCTTCCAAAACCGATCCAATCCAGACTGCGAACACCCATATCCTCAACTAATCATATTTAATAATTATAAGCCATTTACCAACAACTCTTCCCATAAAATTGGATTTATAATTAATACGTTATCTTCTCTTAATTTACTGTTCTGCAAATTGCTTCAATCCCTGGAAGCTGAAATTTGATGTTACTGTAAGAGAGTATACTACTAACAAACAAAATTTCAAATGTTTTTTAAAGCAGTTTCAGAATACGAGACAACTTTGGTTTTTGGTTTAGGGTTTTTGTTTTTTGTTTTTTGTTTTTTTTTTATAAAAATCCATAATCCGCCGATTTTCATGACCCAACCGGGTCACCGGCTTTGACCAGATTTAACTGGATCCAATACATGACCGGTCCGATACTTGACTCAAACTGATCTTATGATCAGTTCGCCAAGTTTCGGTTGACTCGACCAGTTCGAACCGGGTCTAATTAATAACACTGTTTCAAACTTGGACATGTTTGGAATTGGTTTTTTTTTTTTTATTCTTCAAAACTATAACGTAATACGAATTCTGAAAATTAATTTTAAAAATAAAAAAATTAGAAAACATATTTGATGATAATTAAGTCTAAAGTTAAAAAGAAATTGAATTGCTTATAAAAGTAAGAGGGAGAATATTCTCACTACTAAATTTTTTCACTACCAACTTACTACCTATCTAATTATCATTGGATCAAATAGAGAGAATGCTAAAAAAAAATTTGAAGAGAAAGAAAATATTAATTACCTATCTAATTTTTAGTAGTGAGAATATCCCTCCTCTAAAAGTAAGGGGAATTGTTTTCTCATTTAATATGAGATAAAATATTTTTTCTACATACATATATAGAGAGGTGAAATCCATTTATATTTTTTATCTTTCCTCTATTCTCTCTTCTCTAGATGTGTCTATAAAAAAATTGGTTTATCTTATGTTATATAAGAAAAACAATTCCCTAAAATAATCAACTATTATAATTATAAGATTGCTAAAGCAATTTAAAATGATATCAAGTAGAATTTATTTATAAAAATACCTTTGATGAATCTTCCTAATTATAAAATGGGACATGATATTGTGACAACCTTACAACCAATGTTACTACCAACCAATCTCACCGTTGGATTGGTAGTAGCGATCCGACGGTCCTCGTTTAATCCCTAAATATCCCCCGTCTTCGCTGCTCTCTCTCACTATAGGCTCTGCCACAGCCGCCGCCTCCTCCCCCACTGCCACCTCTCCCCCTTTTTACTTCCATGCACGAACTTGTATTTGATAAGTTCGATTTCACCGAAAATCAGAGTGTCAAAAACAGAGTTGCTACTACCCTTGCTCTGAAGCGAGAACTCCAAATTAATGCAAATCAAATTGAGCTTGGTTTAGCTACTATTCGTCAGTCAAAAGATTACAAAGAGATTCATAGTAATATTAATGTTCCAAATGGCATAGATGCATCCTTTAACGATACAAATAGGCTTGTTAAGTATAACCCCAGTAGGTATCTAAGATATGTAGTTTTAGGTTACCTTATGGTGGTTCATTAATGAGAACTCTCGTAGGTAGAACGAAGCATACCATGTTTAAAACCTAAGCAGCGTCACGTGTATGGCTATGGGGGAGGCGGCGGTGGCAGAGCCTATAGTGAGAGAGAGAAGGGAAGAGAGAGAAGGGGGAGAGAGAGAAGCGAAGACGGGGGGATATTTAGGGATTAAACGAGGACCGTCGGATCGCTACTATCAATCCAACAGTGAGATTGGTTGGCAGTAACATTGGTTGTAACATCACTTAGTTGTCACAATATCTTGTCCCTTATAAAATAATCACCATAAAAATAATAAAACCAAAAATTTATTTTTGAGAAATCCGTAAAATACTCTTTAATTTTAATGTTAAAAGTATAAAATGTATTTATTGTTGAGAGTCATTTTCACAGCACAATCCTATCAAGCAATTTTTTTTCCCTACAGAGTAAAAATCTGTTTGTGGAAATAGAAATTACACAGGCTCTTGGACTCTGTTTCGCACTTTAGTGTTGCCATGCGACACTCACTATTATCACCGCCGTGCCAAACTCACGGTGGAGCAAACTGATAGCATTGCAAACAGCGCATCACTAAAATCCTTATCAGTGGGCACTGGGCACTGGGCACTATAGCTCGCTTTGTTAACCTACGGATTCAGCTCATATAGACCAAACATGGTTGAAATTCAAGACCAGATTGAGTCAAACGTAGATCTGGAATCCTAACATCAAATATTCCAAGCAAGAATTTTCTTCCATTAGGTCATTGGTCTGAGCCAAGACTCCGACAATTTGCCCTGCTATGCTTCCAAATATACCAGAATCACGAGAATAACGCAAAATTTTTACACTGGACACTAGAATTAGAATCATCAAAGCTAAAAATAATAACAAAACAGACTGAGAGGCTAATTTAACCATTAGTTAATCGTTAAAAAAGTTTAAATACAGAGAAATCCGCCTAAAAACTATGCCTCGCGGCACCATCTTTTATATCCCTTCAGAAATATAACTGTCCTCACCAAACCAGAAACACCACAATTTAACAAGATGTCATGATTTCAAGATCTCAGTTTGCATTTAAGATGCGTTTCACAAAACCCATTCCACTAAAGTAGCAACACCAAATCCTGTTGCAGAGCGCTGCTTATCATTCCACACTGGACCAGCCAAGTCAATATGCATCCATTGGACCTTTTCATCAACAAACTGGAAAGCACAGTTGTTTCAGAAAACCACGCCATAAATATGCAAGAGGACTACAGATAAAAGCCAGGCAACTAAGAAGGCACACATTATCAGTGTTATTTAACAAAGCATCTGTTTTCCTCCCAGTAGGTTCCTTTATAAATAGTTTCTACAATAAATTTTCCCTCCAAATCAAGACAGTTCATACATCATCCAACCCACTTCATGTGCAACACTCCTACCAATAAGTAGTAGCGGAACACAATCATTTGTAGAAACATGGAGTTTGAAAAAGGGGTATAGCATTCAGATACTATTTTATCACTCCGTGGTAGCAATGGACCATTAGGTTAAGGAGAAAAGTCAAAGCAATCAAATTATACATTAAAAGCATATACCTGCTTTAAGAAAAGAGCAGCAGTAATAGCACCACCTTGTCGACCACCAGTGTTCACCATATCAGCTACTCCTGATTTCATTGACTCCCAATAACTTTCTTCTAATGGCATCCTCCATAGTTTCTCCCCACTCACTTCAGAAGCATCAAAAATTTCTTTTGCTAGGTCATCACTGGGTGTAAACACACCTTTAAAAACAATAGATAGCAATAGTAAACAGTTAATAGTGAATAATTCATTGCATGAGTTCAGAAATTGATGAGAATGCAAGTTCCAATAGCATTAGTAAACAGTTAATAATGTGGATACTTCCACAGATATGTCTCTTTCAGGTTCTGCCTCTTCCAGAGCTTAGCTATTCTCTTTACCCACGATATTACAATTTTTCAGAACCAACCAACTATAAGTTGGGCCTTTTTTTCTTACTCAAACAAATACTGGTAGATGGTTATTCAAATCCATACAAAATACTTGCAATTTTAAGTTAATAATTACCTGCAATTGAGGGTCCAAGAGCAACTATACAGGCCCCAGTTAATGTTGCCAAGTCAACTATCTGAAGAACAGTTGGTCAATCTGTTAGCAGAGTTCTAAAACCAAACTATACAACTAAAAAGTTGTAAGCTTGTTTAAAACAATTTCATAATCCAAAATACAATGATGACAGGCGCATTAGATGATGTAAACACAAAAATCCCAAAGTCAGTACTTACACAGAACTGAACCGAAACTCCACATATAAAAAAAAAAAAAACCAATCCCCATTAAACCCGACTAGCGAACGTCGGGTGAAATTAATATATATTCATCAAATAATTGAATTTTACTTCAGTAAGACAGGACAAATTGGAACGGTTCTAACATTTTTTTCTAACTCTAATTAGAAATGAAATCATTAATGACCAAATCCATCAGACACCCAATATTAAATGTTAAGCCAATCCGTTATGATCTATGGAAATATTAGAGAGATTAAGCTGCATAGCGGCATACCTTTTCAACACCTTGGTTACAAGCATACACCAGAGCATCTGCCAGGGTAAGCCTACCCTCGGCATCTGTGTTATTCACCTACACAAGAGGTTAAGCCAATGTCACGTTCTTAATGAATAAACAAGGCCAAGTATTACACTTCTGCCATCATATAGATTCAGAGGCCAAAACTAGAATTCGTAGACTTCCAGTTGTATAAAATGTATTTATGTAACAGTGACACAGATATGGCTAGGATAGATTTGCAATTATACACTAAGAATGATTCCAAAAGTTTGAAAAATAAAAACATAAATATATCAGGTCAACTTCAAAAATATAAAAAATAACTGATTAAAGGAAATATCTTGAGTTAATTTATAAAAAAATTAAAAATAAACACAACTAAAATATCTTTGGTCTTTTCAACCAAATAAACCTTGCACACCTACAATAATTTTAACCGATTAATATGAAAAGAAATGTAGGATACACCTAAGTGTCAACAAGAAGTGCACAATACCTTTTGACCAACAGAAAATATAATGAAATAGCATCATAATTACATCTGAAACTTTGTTTTAATGATTTATTTTAAGTACATGTCAGTATGAATCAATAATTTAAAAGGTTCGATTGGAAAATCCAAAACTTGAACTCTGATTATTATATTAAAAATTCAATCAAAGAATGTATATTAGGCAACATTTGAAAAAGCAACTAATACGGTCTAAAAGCCGCATCCTAGTAAACAATGTGACAGCTCAACTTTCTTTTGTTTGGACGCCATCCCTGGCAAAAAAAAAATTAAGTTAATACTTTTCAATAAATTAATTATACATTTATTACAGTTTTGAAAATAATTACATATTGATTGTACAATATGACGCCCAATTTGAGCGTCACCAATGACGCACAAATTGGGCGTCACTCAAGAGGCAATCACGCCTAATTTATGCGTCACTCATTAGGTGTTGACACGTGTCATATTTTTTTCAAAAAAAATTAAAATAATTTAATCATAAAACTTTTGATTCGGGTATCCAAATCAGGTAATTCTTTTTTTGATTCCACATAACTTTTCGATATCTACACAATGACATCTCATTTGACGTATTTTATTTTCCATAAACACAATTTAAATTTGCAAGAATAGTATTATAAGAGCGATTAAACCCAGAGCCTCTCAGTTATGAGTTTGTGATTTAATATAAAAATAAATAAAATTTTGATTTGTGATTTAAATTTTTTTATAATAATTTTTTTTAGTATAACAAAAATTTGGTTGTGATTTAAATTAAAAATAATAATAAAAATTATTATTAATAAGGAAAACAAAATAAAGATTTGATTTGTGATTTGAACTAAAAAATCAATTTTAAAAATCTATTGAAATGAAAGAAATAATTAAATAAATATTCTAAATCTCTAAGGAAGAAGGATATTATTTTTGAAATTAATGATTAATGCTATAAGCTTCTGGGTTATTATTCGTGGTCTGAAATTAATGATGGCTTATGCATGTTTTTCAAAAATAAAATTACCTAAATTAGAAGTTATTGCCTCTTGATTGAAACCCAATTTAGACGTGATTGGTGATGTGTCAGGTGTTGACACATGTTGACACGTGTCCCATTTTTAAACGCAGAAGCCTCTGAGTTCTGGGTTTGTGATTTAATATTAAAAATAAATCAAGATTTGATGTGTGATTTAAATTAAAAAAATAAATTTTATTTTTATTATAAAAAAATTTGGGTTTTTATTTAAATTAAAAATAACAATTATTATTAACAAGGAAAAAAAATAAAGATTTGATTTGTGATTTAAATTCAAAAATAAATTTTGAAATAAATGTATTAATAAAGGAAATAATTAAATAAATATTCTAAATCTCTAAGGAAGAAGGATTACCTGATTTAAATTTAAATTATGTTTGTGATCAACAAAATATATCAAATGAGATGTCGTTGCGTAGATCTAGAAAAGTTATATGGAATCAAAACAAGAATTACCTGATTTGGATACCCGAGTCAAAAGTTATGGCCTACAGAGGTTTTATGATTTTTTTTTTTTGAAAAAAAAATATGACACGTGTCAACACCTGATAAGTGACGCCTAAATTAGGCGTGATCGCCTCTTGAATTTTTTTATAATAATTTTTTTTAGTATAACAAAAATTTGGTTTGTGATTTAAATTAAAAATTATTATTATTAAGGAAAACAAAATAAAGATTTGATTTGTGATTTAAACTAAAAAATCAATTTTAAAAACCTGTTGAAATAAAAGAAATAATTAAATTAATATTCTAAATTTCTAAGGAAGAAGGATATTATTTTTGAAATTAATGATTAATGCTATAAGCTTCTGGATTATTATTCGTGGTCTGAAATTAATGATGACTTATGAATGTTTTTCAAAAATAAAATTACCTAAATTAGACGTGATTGCCGCTTGATAGAAACCCAATTTAGACGTGATTGGTGACGTGTCACACACATGTTGACACGTGTCCCATTTTTAAACTCAGAAGCTTCTGAGTTCTGGGTTTGTGATTTAATATTAAAAATAAATCAAGATTTGATGTGTGATTTAAATTAAAAAAATAAATTTTTTTATTTTTATTATAAAAATTTTTGTTTGTGATTTAAATTAAAAATAAAAATTATTATTAATAAGAAAAATAAAATAAAGATTTGATTTGTGATTTAAACTCAAAAATCAATTTGAAATAAATGTATTAATAAAGGAAATAATTAAATAAATATTCTAAATCTCTAAGGAAGAAGGATTACCTGATTTAAATTTAAATTATTTTTGTGATAAATAAAATACATCAAATGAGATGTCATTGCGTAGATATCGAAAAGTTATGTGGAATCAAAAAAATAATTACCTGATTTGGATACCCGAGTCAAAAGTTATGGCCTTCAAAAGTTTTATGATTAAATTTTTTTTTTGGAAAAAAAAATATGACATGTGCCAACAGCTGATGAGTGACGCCTAAATTAGGCGTGATTGCCTCTTGAGTGATGCTCAATTTGGGCGTCATTGGTGACGCCCAAATTGGGCGTCATATTGTGCAATAAATGTGTAATTATTTTCAAAATTGTAATAAATGCGTAATTAATTTATTAAAAAGTATTAAATTAATTTTTTTTGCCCGCCATCTCCTGTTTCAGAAATTGCATTTTGGCATTTTCTTGGATACTTTTTCCATTCTAGATTTTGGATTTATTTTCCTCGATTGAGAGTTAAAAGTGTGGAATATCAATTCCAAAGTTGGTGACATGAAATGTGGTAGAGGGGAAATTTTTTTTTATCCGGGAATCTCAATTTTCAAAAATATAATTTTTACATTCAGTTTACAATAATACTTGAAAATTAAAAATTTAGAAAAATTCAATTTCCCAGGAATCTCCAAGAATCCCGCGTACCAAAGGGGGGTTTGGATGATATTAAAAGATAGTGTCGCGTAGTCTAATTTGCCATTATATTAATCCATTTTACAACTGAATTGTGGTTTCGAGATTTCCTTTTTCAATGATAATAATGTTATTATTTGGTCACCTCACTATTAATTTATTCACTCCATTAATTTCATAGCATGAAAGTAGGTGCTTCTAAAAAGAATCAAAATAAAAGAAACTAACAATATGTATATCCATATCCATATATTGTTGTTACATAATAGTTTGATCAGCTGCTGGTAGACCGGTAGACCGAGGTAATGCTAAGGCTGGTAGACCGATCAGAATAAAGCTGGTGTCTTAATCTGTCTGGTGAAGGGCAATTTTTCAAGCCTGTGGCAAAAGAAAAACAGATGCTGGCTGTCGAGGTAATGCTAAGGTCATCATCATCTGACAAT